TGTGTGTGTGTGTGTGTGTGTGTGTACACCCTTTTAGAAACTCCTTATCATATTATTTAATTTTTCCAGTCTTGAAAAGAATATACTAAATATTTTCAACAGAAATGTCCACACATTTGTTTGACGTGTTCACTGTCATCATATAATTGTTTAATTAATACATGGAAATTAATTTAACAATGATTTTATTTTCTGCAATTAGTTGTCAACGATGGAAGTGGGGATTAGATTCTTCACGTTTTGCGGGTTCACTGTTGCACAATTGGTCCATCTATTATTCTTGACCGTCATGGGACAATTTGTGGAAAACTCCAATGACGAAATCTTTCAAACAGTGTAAGACCGGTATACAATATCGTGGAACAATTGTAGTTTTAGTATATTCGAAACAAGTTGTTGTAATTTAATTGATTTAAAAACATATTCCAGTTAAGTCGAATTAAATTCATCATGTAATTCGATAGATACGAAGCCAAATGGTACAATGGTTCGCCAAAAACGCAATTGTTGTATGCATTGGTGTTACGAAAATGTTTAAATCCGCCCATGCTAACAGGTGGAGGATTGGTTCCTTTGAATTTGTACAGCTTTGTACAAGTTAGTTCAACACTTTTAAAAAATATCTAAGAATTGCCTTTAGAAAACAATTCACTGATTCATTAGCGATTAATTCCTTTTCAGATCCTGAAAGCGTCTTTTTCGTATTACACAGTACTTAGATCTACATAATTTTAAGAGAGTTGTTAAGTTTCAATTATTGTATACTCCTTGGATAAAATATATTAGAATTTGTATTACTTAGTAAGCTCGTATACATTGCATTCGAAGTTAGCTGTTGTTAACAATTTGTGTTATCCATAAAATATAATATTTTCTCCATACTTCTTTTATTACATTTTCCAAGTATAGTGAATTCCAAAATGAAACTCTTATTACGTAGAAATAAATTGTTGGTGCATGAATTTTACTTTTTACTCGAGTAATATAAATAACACAGAAACATTGAATAAATGTAGAAAATAATTCAATCTTAACTGCTTCGACTTTAATTATTTTTGTTTACTTACATAAGAATGCAGAAGTTATGTTCATTAAATTTCATACAGAAGATGCATACACATAATTTTGCGTACAACAATAATTTTGCTTTTACTTATGTTCCTTTTTTTTATAATAATATGCAAATATTAGATCACACTTATTATTTTCACTCTTTGTATCAAATTGTCAAATTTCACGTTTGAGTTGCAGACTCATGTATATAAATTCAAATGGAAATAAACTCTTTTCATTTGTATAGAATACCTTCTGTACATCACATCCGAAGATATTTTAATCTATACACAAATTATGAAGAAGTTTTCGCTTCAGAAAAGGAACGATATTAGTCGATTGCTGGTACTTTTATGAAAGCACAGGACTTTTCATGAGTTACCCGAAGTACCCACTACGTTACAATATGAAGAGGTACATCCAACAATTAATTTTTCATATTCTGTACATAGATCCACTTATCCACTTTATCGCAACGAAATTATTCTGCCCATTATCTC